GAAGGAAGGAAGGAAGGAAGGAAATTGTTCTTCTGAAAAAAAGAGGGCTCAACTGCAGTGGGAGATATCCAGACTGCTGGAGATCACTGGGATTGCAGATTCATAAAATGGTACACAGGTATCTCTCAGACACAGTTGATTCTTCATTGAGGATAGTCTCTTCCAGGCCTATTTCCTAAAATCTGAAATTTTACAGAGAAGCAAATGAGCTAACATTACTGACAAATTTCTCACAGCCTATTACAATTCACTTTAAAATGATATATCACTTCAAAATGAGGGAGGTCAAACAAAATGACCCTATGCTTGATTGCCAGTATTTTGGATAGATTTGGTTTACAATTTGAATGTAAAATTTACTGAAACTTTAAACACTTGTACTCTCAAAGTTAATTCAGGACTCTTTGTTTCTTATTTAGTCATCAATAAATTTGTCAATTTTTATATTTCACAATGAAATGAAGTCTGGAAGTAAATAAACACAAAGAAGGCATTGAATCCTGGAAGTAAATAAACACAGAAAGTAAAAATAATGGGAGATGTTTGTTGAGATGCCACTGTTTTTGTCTGTGTGCATTATTATCTATTAGCATATGTGTATGTGCGTATCAACAGGCAAAACACATGCATAAAATGTTCAGATGGACAAAATAAAGTAAACTACTGGATTAAATTTATCTAAATTATGCAGCAAACTATTTAAAATGTCCCCACCTCTTGAATATCCAAAGAATCACCCCTATTTAGGTCCATACTTTTACCATCTAAGGCTGCACTCACCAACATTAGCTATCATTTGTTAGAAATGCTTATGGTTAGAAGTATTAACATTAAGAAAAAAGTTTTTTACAATATAGGCAATGAGGTACTGGCACAGGTTGCCCAGAGAGGTAGTGGATGCCTCAACCCTGAAGATAATCAAGGTCAGACAGAACAGGGCTCTGAGCAAGGTGAACAAGCTGCAGATATCCCTGTACACTGCAGGGGAATGGGACTAGGTGGCCATTAAAGGTCCCTTACAACTCAAACAATTCTATGATTCCGTTCAGTGGTATGCTGAAGGAGAGTTTGAGTGGAACACCAATATAAAATTGGTTACACTAAGAACTGAAAAAAATCCGAAACTTTGAATTCCAGTTCTAATACATAGAATCATAGAATGATTCTAATTGTATTCTTATTTTGCCTATTGGTCTACCTACACTGTATTTTCCTTACTCGTAAGCCTAAGGTAACTGCTCTTAGAACAGACTTGAGATGTTAGAAGAACAAGGTGCTATTCTTTCTATACTGATTTGCAAAATTAAAAGCTGTATTAGAAGGAAACAATTTAAACAAAAAGAGAGCCAGTCTTAAAGTGGAACAAGACCACCATTTTTCCACCACAGGAAAATTTGAGAAATAAGAGCTACTGAAGGGTTTATCACCAAGATTGGTAAAGGAAGGCAGAATACGTTTAACCAGGATGCAGTATGTCCAAGTCAGAAGTCCAGCAAGCTCAGATGATCACAGACATTAAGTGCCACTCCATTCCCACAGCAGCCCCAGCCAAGACAAATTTTTGTCAGGCCAATGACCAGCACAGCTTCCTGTAGCTGCTGATGCCTCTCAGTCTAAGCACTGGTTCAGGTCCGTGCTGCGTTATACGAGAGATCTGGTGAGATTTTAAGGTTATGGCTTCAAGCCATTCTGAAGTGCTTATCAGGAAAATGCAAAATGACTAAATGTGTATAGCTTGGGGGAGTGGGACTATTAATAGTGCCACTGCCAACTGATTACAGAGATCTGAGTACTGTAAGCCAAGAAGACAGAGCCAAATGAAAATGTTTCTAAGAATGAGAGAGGGAATCCACCACAGTGACTGTTAAATTGACTACTAGGAAAATCTGTGTTAAGAACCAGATTCAAATTTCGGAAAGGAGCCAGAATTTTCGCTTGCATAACTTAACTAAAATGAACTGGCTTCAAGTTATTAACCTGTAATGGTCACCAAGAAGAGAACAAATGACTCGTGAGTGTTTGCTATCTCCTGATTCCTAATTGTCTGAAAAGCAAAATCAATATGGTGAGGTCACTCCATGACCCCTGATTGGCTATTATTGATCTCTATAAATTGAAACATTTATGCTGCACAGGGAGGATTCCAGCATAGCTACTGAAAGGACACCTAGTGGCAAGTCAATGAGTACGTCTGGAAACTGCTGGGACTGTTGAAGGTCTGCAATAATAATTATCACAGGAGTTGCTGAACAGTTATAGGTTGAACATGCAATGTTCTATGTGAACTTTCGTGTCAAATAGCTCAAGTGTTACGTTTTGTTGTTGTTTTTTTAACTGCAAACAGCATTCTTACAAATACTTTTTAAGAACATGGAATTTAAGATTCACTTCCTTCAAATTCGAAGAGCAGGATTCTAAATGAAAGATGAACATGCCTACATATGAAATTGTGACTACAATTGTGGATCTCCTGAATCTCCACTACACCAACTTTAGGAATATTGGATAGCTGAACAGAACTTGTCACAGATATGTTTTACTGGATACTCGAACCAAATTTCAACATGCTCATCATCATTTCTCAGGTCTTTCATCGCGCCACTCTAAAATGCCCTTACCAATTCCTTCTCTTCTTACAGATCACCCTTCTCCCCCTTGAAGATAACCAGTCACAGGATATAAATTCTACGTATTCAAGCTAACTTTACTCTTTTTTTCTGTCCATCCAGCTTTTCAGTCACTTTTTGCCTGTGTTTATTCCAAACCCCTTTATGTGTACTAATGCCCTTGTGACCAGGAGATGCCCACAATAAAAAGCTGTATTCCAGATGGAGTCATGCTGGTCTCATGCAGAGAGGGATTATAACCTTCCTGTTTAGTGACATGCTGCCTCTGGGCAAACAGACCAAAATCCACACTTGGCTTTCTTGTTTATGTCAACATATCATATTACAAGCCTGGAACAATTTGCTGACCACTATCCTTCCTCGATTATTGTTTTTATGTTCTATTTTCCAGGTTACTCTCTTCTGCCAAACACCAGTTCCTTTGGATTAATTGTCCCTGAGTGAATTAGTACAGATTTTCGAGATCCATTTTTCCAGAGATATACATATATGCATTTATCCAATGTTATAACATCTCTGCGTACCATTGGTCTGTTCTCTATCCTCACAGCGTTTATAACAACTCTCAACTTAGTACCATCCTTAGATTTTAAAAGCCACAAATAAACCATTCCTGCTCCTCTATGCTTTTTCATCACAACAAAGAGCCAAGCACTGGGGATAATCTTTGTTTGCTTTTTTAGATGACCTCTTACAAAAGTTTGGTTAAAAAATCCTGCTCTGCCCTGTTTCTCCACAACACAACCATGAAAAAGTAGATCACAGAGTGACACTGAGCCAAGGCTGCACTCTTGCTCTTAGCAGACATCAACATCCATTTCTTTTCCAGCTCTGTTTCAGGAGCTCACCTCTCCTTCACTCCTGAACCTCCACCCTGGCCTGCTCTCTATCTTAAAATGGCATGTAGTTTCCTTCCTTTACTATAAACAATGCTTTCTGTAACCTTAGTTTCACAATGCAAACATTTAAAAATAAGAATGAAGGGAACACAAACTATGTGTCCAATTAGACAATTTGAGGATTAAATTAAATGAAATTTCTTGAAACACGGAACATTTCAAAGCAATGAAGACTGGTTTTACTTGTCTTACTTTTATCCCATCACTTTAAAAAAAGAGGACAGTCTGTCTTAGAAACTCTGGCAGAAGAGAAGTAAAGGTAGCTGAAGACAGCTTCTTCCTTATGAATCCATGGGAAATGAAAACACGGCTGAGAAGAAGGGGCAGTGACACCTAGGTATGAGTTCAAAGGGAAACAGAGGCACTCTGTAAACTCCCAGATGACAGAGGCTGGGCAGCCAGCTGCTGCTGTTAACATGGGAGGCTCCTGCTATCAATAACATCACCACCATCTGTAACATGATATCAGCTTGCAAGATATCGTGCAATCTGGCATTATTTTTATATTAAAAAGTAAAAAGAGCAAGAGGCCAACAAATAAATAACATTCTTCAGTAAAAAAATAAAAAAATAATAAAAAGAATAGGGATCCTTTGTATACATTCTATATAATAAGGAATAGATGAGGAAAGAGTAGGAAAGAGTAGCAAATGAAAATAACATTAAAAAAAAAGTACTGTTTGTCTCCACAGTCCACCTTTAAATTTTGGTTGGTTATACTCTACCAAAAAGGCTCTTGCTTTTCTTTTATTTAACAATTATTGAGAGGATTTTCATTGCTGTATCCCTAATCCAGATTTTGCTACTGTGAGTGCTGCAGTAACAGAAGAAATGAAAACTGTGTGCAGATTTGGAAGAATTCTTATTATGTACATCTGAACATGCACATTTGGCTTTCATTGTATGGTGTGCCAGACAGCTACAAAAACAAAGCATAGCCTATTACAGCTTTAGTCAACATTTAGAACTTTAGATCACAAGTATCCCAAATGAAAGTGATTCCTCTGACCTTTCAAGCAAGCCTATTTCCTGTTGGGCTTACAGTAAATACAGGTGGTACTTTAGTTGCTTTACTTTCATGTTGGTTTAAACAGACATTGCAAACAACAATAATAGCCTCAAAAAGGGAGCACAACATAGCTACAGGTATTACAACTTTACATTTACCCCAAGCCTCTTTGCAGATTTAAGGATTTTACGGCCATGTTTTCCCGTTTCCTACAGTGCACTGAGGAAGAGCAAGGGTAAACATTATTTGGTAAAAACCACACAAAAAGCATAGGAGGAAATGCACAACATTTCCAAAGCAATATCTCATATGCAAAAGAAGTATGTTCAATAATAGAGGTTAGATCTTTCTTTTCTTACTTTACCAGTGTAACACCACATTTTAATTTTACTCACGATTAATAGAAAGCAGTCATAAATAAGAGGGAGAGTTTTAAAGGGATCCTGCTATCTTGAGAAGACCTACCTTGAAAGAAACTTTTGACTCGCAGGTAGCTGACACTAAGGCGCAGCACAGACAGCTTGTCCAGCTTGGATATTATGTCGGGTGGGAAAGGCAGGAGGCTGGCCAGATGGTCTAGTTCTGCGTTTAGGCGGTCCCTGTGCCTCTTTGAAGGATTTGATTTTTCATTTCCAGCTGCAGGCCTTCTGTGGTGGAGAAGAGAGTCACGTTTTCGATTACCTGTTTTACCTCCAAGTAGTGCAACCATAGACTGAGATGCTTTTTGCCATCAGCTGATAACAGGCGTAGTTAATCAGCTCCTATGCAAATTTGTTAAGTTTTTATCTTCTGCTTAAAGAATACTCTGAAATTTACCATTTTGCATTGCACAAAGACATGGGCATTGGCCTCTTTTCTCATATCTGTCCGGTGGAAAACGGACAAAGAGATGGTATCTCTTAGATAGGGCCCTGTGACCTTAAGAGGAATAGATGCTACCTTTGTGTCTTAGAGAACAGTGACCTTAGAGGAATAGATGCTACCTTTGTGTCTTAGGGAACACCAGGAAAAATGATTCTTCATCTGTGTTGTACAAATTACAGTACAGTACAGTAAAGGAAAATTACCATGACTAATGCATGAACCCATTCAATACCCAGTGTATTCATTCAAAGCATCTCAGTGCCTTCCATTTAATGGCTCAGAATTAACTTGTAGGTCAGGAGATAATTAAGAAATGAGCCTTTCTTCAGACATGATTAAAACAATATGGGAAGCAACATGAAGAGACATCATTTTGCCAAACTCAAACATCTTGTGAACATCCTCAAATTTACCTTTCTGTATCACTAATAGCAAAGGTAAAATTTTGGTTTCTCTCTTGAAAACATTGATACTCCTCTCAAAACATAATATAGAATATATTATTTATATATAATATAGATAATATATAATTATGTATATATATAATATATAATAGTATTATTCAGATTTCAAAACTGAACACTCCTACTCCAACTCCATTAGGCACCCCAGTGTGGAACAGATTCCACAGAAAACCTATTGCAAAGATGTTCAAGGTGAAATCTATCAACAGTGAAAAAGGAGGCAGATTAAAATTGTACATGCAAAACAGTGAATCTTATCATAGAATCACAGAATCATGGAACCATGGAATCACAGAATCATAGAATGTTTGGGGTTAGAAGAAACCTTAAAGTTGACCCAGCCCCACTCCTTGCCATGGGCAAGGCTGCCCCCCACCAGTGCAGTCTGCCACAGCCCCATCCAGCCCAAGCTTGAGCATCTCCAGGAATGGGGCACCCACAGCTTCTTCTCTGAGCAGCCTCTTTTGCACCTATCTCACAACCTTTTGGGGTGACCAGCACAACAATAGGGAGTGTTCCACACCAAAGTACCAAGGCATTTGTGGCAAGGTTGAGAAAGTTGTTATCCACAGCAGACGGCCATTGCTGGGCCCAGCAGTGGTCAAGTTCTTTATCCAAAAATAAGCCACTGGAGATGTAAATTGAACAAATCCATGACCTGAGGGTGTACAGCAGCCCAGGACTGCAGCTGAACTTGATTTTGACCAGGGCACTCAGTACTGTGTACACTCACTCTCATAACACCAGTCCTAGCTGATGTTGCAGTACATTGCTACATTCATCCTGAAACCTTTTCTCCAGAAGAGACATATAGAGAAAGATCAACAGGGAAACGAGGGCAAAAATTATATCAAGTTTGGAAAATGATAGACAAGGAAAATATGTGTGTTTTAGCAGCTTCACCAAACTAAATGCAAGGATCATAATCTTATCTAGCTTCGATAGAGCTCCAGTGGAGAATCAGAGTACATCAGGTCACTTGTAGCTATTTTCTGATGCATTTTCAACTCCATACATTGACTAGATTTTTCAACTATAATTTTAATTTTGAACATTACTATTTCACAAGGTGCTCAAAGGGTTAAATTACAACATAATTTGAGTGTTCCCTTTTTATAAATGCAATCATAATTTAGAATTGTGAAGAGTTTGGAAATAAATACTATGTTTAGGAATTAGTAAAAAAAGATCGATGTCTCTTACATGTGATTGCTGGCTTTGCTGCTAAGTGAAAACCTCTTAAATCAAATCAGATTTGAAAAAAAAAAAAATTGCTACCTTTGCAAGCCTTCACTTCAATTTAACACAACAACATCGACAGATAGAATGAGTGAAAAACCGTTCAAGACAGGTGTCAGTGAAAATGTAAATCTCACTTTTTCATTCAAAATTATCCAAATTTGTATGTGGCCTTTCAGCAACACAAGTACTTTCAGAGACGTGGGGGAGATTTTAGTGATTGGGGATCAATAAATGACTTTTCTCTATGAGAAAGAGCAAACATCCAACAAATAATACAATAATAAATTGTTTTTAACAAACCCACTCTTTGTACATAGCGGGTACTAATTTTTTTGAAGTAAACCCTGACACTCAGCCATTCTCACAACATCAAAATGACATCTGACCTCTGGAAAGCAACGACTCAAGTTAAGTAGAAGTTTAGGAACATAGGATGTTATTATTTGCCCTTTACATCTGACAAACCAATCAAAGTAAGGAAACAATCTAGCACAGAAAAAAAAAAAAAAAAAATCCAATAAGGAAAATTAGATTGAGGAGCTCAAAATGTAAAAATGTTCAAGACTGATATGGTATAGAAATTGTTAAAGCCTATTTGTCACGTAAACTCACAACTGCTCTAATCAGAGATGTATGGCAAATGCATGGGCTACATCTGTACCGAGCAAAGTAACCATTTTCTGGAAGTTACAGGGAATGATGTAAAAAGACTGCAAGAGAATGGAGTCTTCCTGAAAACTCAAGGAAATGATTCAGTAAGTGAGTAAATCCAAACAAATGTGAGTTTGATGCAAATGGTAATTAGGCGCCAAGTGGATAAGATTTAAAACAATGCAAGCTCCATGGAAAAGCTCCCTTAGCTATCCTTCAAGGAAAACAGGCAGGAAGATTCTTCAAGGAGTTGTTTTGAGGCAAATGGAAATTCTAGCCCTCACTTGAAAGTAGCTGAAAGAAGCTGAAAGTAGCCATGCTTGTCGTGCTTACGTAAAAACTGATTTTCAAACTACATAAATCAGGTCTTAATAGAGACACAGCATTCACTCCATGCCTTTTTCACTTTGCTTTTCATACAATCCTATTACAATAAAGTGGCACTTGTACCTAAAACAGTAAAGCCAGCATTTCTTTCTTTGCTTCTTGAACACAACCATCCAAATTCTGCTCTACACTAACAAGGATGCATTCCTGCACGGGACCATACAAGCAGTCCCTGGAAGTGAGTGCAGGAGCTGGCACACAGACATTTTCTCTGTTGTTGGTACATAAGACATTGAGCTGTTTGTGCTTCAGTGCCTCAGTTTGCCCAAGACCCACAGGTTGCCACTGTTGTAAACCAGTTTGGTAAGCTTGCAGGGGAATTTCCTGCACCACAGATTTGTACACTAAGTGCTGTGTCTTCTTCTCTCCAAGCCATACCTGCTGCCCATTGAGGCAGTCCACATCTTTCAAGAAAAAGTTCACTCTGAAGAAGTTGTCCAAGTATGCTCAAGTGTGAAACACACTGATGATCTCAGCTGAGAAAATCTAACCACCTGATAGGACAGGAGGCTTTCAGTAAGAAGAGAAAGGGAAGAGAGACCATGAGATAGAGCACAAAGCAAATGGTTTTCACCAACACATTGACCAGAACCCACTGGAGCTGAGCCCCAGTGCTAACCACACATGTGCAGATGCTGACCATCTCTATGAATGAAAAGAACTGAGAGGAAGCTGTTTGGAGGAAAAGGAACCTTTTCAATGATATGCCTCTGCTAAGCCTTCACAGCAAGGAGAGGAGAAAGCAGAACTCTTGGTCATGAAGACATTACATCAACAGAGAAGATGAGAGGTTGGATAGTGTGATACCAAGTAAGAGGAAAGGCTATGCCACAGAGGGCCTTGAAATGAGAACTAAGGAGAGAGCTGCTCCTAAGATCTCTGTTTACCCTGGCACTGATACAGTTCTGACTGAACTGGGCAGTTTGGAGCAGTTAAAGATACACTCAGAGCGAAGGCAGCTGAGTTTGCCTTTAAAGAGCTGTAAAACATTACAAGAAATGTTTTGTAGAGGGAGAGTTTTACAAGTTGCCAGGGTTTGAGATGAAGTGGATGAAGCTTTCAAACAGTAACTGTCCTGAAGCACTGCCCAAGCATTGCTAGTATGGGTATTAATTTCAGTGCAATGCTTTTAGTCTGAGGTTAAAAACAAGATCTCCTTATTTTTCAGATGCTTGAATTACTAGCAAAATATTAGATTTCCACAGGAAGTAAACACTTAGTAGAAAATATTTCCTTTACTCAAAACTCCAGTTTTCTGGATGAAAAACATATCTGATGGAAAATTTTCATTCACCCTGACTTCCAGGTGTTTGATCTGGTTCCATAAATGCCAAAATCCTTTAATGCAGACCACATATAATGGGACTTGTTTGCAAGCTTTCCATGGTCAAAGGAGAACAGCTAGGATTTGTTATATATTTATATGGGTGAAGGTAGAACTTAAACCTGATGCACTGTCTGAAGAATGGCAATCTATCAAAGATGGTCTCTCCTACTTTCAGGTGGAGAAGAAGACAAAATATAGTAGCTCTTCCCAGTAATACAAATTTTCTACTCATTTTTTCATAGTCAAATGGCTCTCTTCATTCTCCCATGGAGCTTTTTCATATATTTTTCTCATTGTTCTGTACAGTTACTTCAGAATGCAATTTCCAATGTTCTATGCCTGCAAAAATGGGCACTGTCATTCTGTGATATCTCCAATTAAAAGCCAGCTGCAGGATCATCAGCTGGTTTGATAGCCTGATCACAAAATGTTAACAGAGGAGCAGAGAGTGAGCTTCCTGGGATGCACGTATATTGGGAAGATGTTAAAGTACCAACTGTTCTGCAGAGGGGAACACTGAACCTCTGATTTTCTGAATTCTGCCCTATAAAAGGCCAAAAATTCCTAGAGAAATCCACATATCCTGCTCAGATGAGCACTTATCTCACTTCAAAGAATCACAGAATTGTCAGGGTTGGAAGGGACCTCTGGGAGTCATGAAGTCTAACCCCTTGCTAAAGCAGGTTCCCTACAGCAGATTGCCAAGGTAGGCATCCAGGCCTTTAGGGAAGGAGACCCTTGGAAAGGTGGCTGTATCTACTGTGATTCATTATCAGAACAAAAAGAAGAAAAGTAGAATAAGGGTATAGAGAAAAATGTGCTATGCTATCAAACAAGACAAAAAATGTTATAACAAAAACAGCACAACATGCATTAAAATCATTAAATGTACTGTTCAATAATGTATACCCCTCCAAATTCGAGATAAAAAATTTAAGGCTACATAACAGAAAGGATATCTCATAGTCCTGAAACATCAGTAAGATCTGTTAGGACTGAAGGACACAGACCCTTAGAGGAGCCCTGGACTCTGTAAAGTCATAGGCATTCCGAGCCTCTTTAGAGCAATGTTAGAAAGACTGTGAATGAGGAAAGGCTTACCAGAGACCAAGCCCACAAACAGATATGGTTTGAGGAAGAGACCAGTGTTGCTAGGAAGTGAGAAATCATCCTCAGCATGCAAAAAGTAATTATCCACAGAAAATAGGGGGTAGTCTCCAGTGCGGGAGCTAAGTATTCTGGAAACTCAAAGCATTTGATTCCCTTTATTTTAACAAAAACCAAGTTTCTCCATCAAAGTTATCTGAGTGGATAGGTATGTTCAGGTACCTGCACTGCAATCTCACAGCAGAGCTATTTTCAAGGTACTTGCTACTTTGATGTTTTTGAAGGCAAAATTCCCTAATGGGCTTCTGAGGACATTTCCATCCATAGATGGCAAGCGGCTTTCTTAGTTACTGATTTGTCTGGAAGACATCTCAGAGAGAAGCTCTTCTAGCCAACATACACACCCCGAACATGAAGCTTAACATTTCTCAAAGTGACTGCGACTCTCATTCCTTTCTCACAAAAGCTATGATACATAAACAGTTCCGCACAGAGGTAAATTTCATGTACTGGAGCAGTTCCATAGCTCATGTAGGAATAAAGAAGCTGTATGCATACTACTGCAAAAATGTCACATACATTTTGGATCTAATACTCTGGCACCGCAGGAAGAACATTCCATTCATTATCTTTGCCTATTGAAATCGTCACCTCTGATACATTTTACATTAAATATAGATATGTATCTTTTTAAGAGGCAACAAGTGGTTCACGTGCAAATACTACCCAAAATCCAAATAAAATGAACAGATTTCACCCAAACTTTCAGAGAAACTCCCTTTTGACTTTAGACCAAAATATACAATTTTAAGCCAAGTGAGTTATATTTGGAGCTCTGAGAAAATGCAAATAGAGAAATCTGTTTTAATTAACTTTTCAGCCTTAAATTGCAAAGACCATCAACGCCAGTTCATAATTTTAACACACTATGACTGTGTTTCATAACTATGTAATCAAATATAACACAGAAGATGTCAGATAATTATATCAAAAGACCTTGTTTTCAAGTAGTTTATGACAAAATCATTTTGCATTTGAATGATAACTTTTTTTTCCCTGCATTTCAAGTATCTTTTTCTTCCTGTTGTGTTTCTTTTTTCTGCTTTGCCTTCACACATACAATTCTTCTCATTTTTTCTTTGAATAAAAGTGATTTTGTGGTAAATAGTGGCTCAAAAATGATGCCCTCTTTATGCAAAACGTGAGTCACCAGTCCGCTTTTTCAGTTGGCTGAACTGACCCACTTTCCAGACTTACATCTACTAGTTGTAGTGATGCCCCAAGCCAGGCAAAGCCAAGAAAGGGGGAAGGGGGGACATACCAGCACACTGGTGCCACTCAGCACACAGCTTCCCCAGAGGCTCCTTGAGCAAGAGACAGGGAACACAGACACACAGAGGTAGCAGCCAGTCCCCCCAGCCAACTGCCCAGCTGACAATTAATCCACCAATATCTTCTGCCTACAAACAATTGCTGCTCCTATCACTCCTCACAGCACTATGCTATGTAGCATGCTGTGGTGTGCACCACAGCCACTGGACTCCTTCTGGGTCATCAACTAGCAGTGGGTAAGAACAGTCTGACCCATGCACAGCATCCTCTCTGGAGTAGAAGAATCATAGAATACACTGACTTGGAAGGGACCCATAAGGATCACTGAATCCAACTTCTGGCTCCACACAAGACCACCCAAAAATCAGACCATATGACTGAAAGCATTGTGGCATAATAACAATTCTGCAAAGTCTTTGGAATAAGAGCAATGGTACAAGACGCTGTCTGGAGCCAGCCTCCAGCCTGGGTTTCTCACCATGACAAAAGATCTTAGGTCTCTCCTGGGACAGCAGAGTATGGGAGGATTGGATTCATCCTACCTTATTTCTAGCACGCATATCTGGAGGGAGGTGCAACTACCTCCTGATCAATGTGATACTTAACTGTTTCTGAATGGGTTTCCTCCTTTTCCTCCCAGCATAGAGGCATTCCCCCGGAGGAATCATTGTTTTGATGCTGAAAAAGAAAAGGAATAGGTGTCTTAGTTCAGAGATTTCTGCGTTTCGTACCACTGTACAAAATGACAGCACCAAGAAAGTTCAGCTGAAAAAATGTTTGTTGCCTGAGTGTGGCATTCAACAACACTAAAAAGAACACTGGCATTAGTTAAGATAGAAGCATAGGGCTTATTCCAATTTCCTACCTTAATGTTATTAGAATATTGATGTTTATATTCAATTTTCATTTTTTCAAATTAAGCTTACTATACATGGTATAAAAATACATCCTGTTTACTCGATATGCAAAAATATGTTTTTTTCCCTCTAGGCTCATTTTTAGATTGAGCTAAGCAAATAAGAATGAATAATACTACTCATCATCTTTTGCAGGGAGGATTTCACAGCTTTTTAATACACAGGAATATTGTCTTCTATTACTGAAACTGTGGTAAGTAGGAAGCAATTATTCAAATTAGCATTTGTCCAGGTCCTCACACCCTCATTTTTAGAGACTGAGAGCATATGTGTTGGCAGCTCAAGAAGCAGCACACAGCGCTGTGGTTAGCGCTAAGACCAGGAGGTGACAACTTTTAGACAAAACTGTTGCTCTGCTTGGGTATGTCAGACATTGCAAGGCCTAAAACAAGTCTTTGTGTTCAGTCTGTTCAAATCTTTTGGAGTTTAGCCGAAAGCAAAGTCTCTTGGTTTTCTGTCTGAAGGAGTATTTTAGTCTCGCTGGATACTGTTTAACAACGGCTGCGCATTGCCTGAGAGATTAATATATCTCAAGAGTATGTGCTGCTTTGTGCAAGACGAGAAATCAGGGGAATCTTCTATTCACTGAATCAAATCCCATGCTATTGAAGATACCTATGTCATATAAAGCAAATCGTGAGCGTACTGAACCTCATTTAAAAAGCTACTTAGAGGAGTTTTCTTTTTCATTGAAAGACAGTTTTCTGATAACTAAAAACCTTTTGCTTTCCAGATTAAATTTGTTCATGGTCATTTTATGCCCATTTGTTCTTCTGCCAACATTGTCTTTTAGTTTAAATAGCTCTTCCTCCTCCATTGTGTTTACTCATTGGCATATTTTTAAATATCAGTCATGTCTTCAGCCAGCCTTCATTTTTTCTATTCTAGGACAACCCAGACTGTTTCATTCCCCTCTCGTGTTACAAACTCCTTATTCTCGCCATCATCTTAGAATCCTTTTCCTTTACTATTTCAATTAATCTGTCCAAAACATGAATAAACAGAATCACGTACAGCATATTAATTAAGCCTACCTGTAGTTCATACATATCCATAATGCATATCTACACATATGTATTAACAAACTACTAGTTCTTTATGGGAGCTATCTCACTTGGTATTAGTTTGACAGCATTCTCCTTTTTCATAGCCACTCATAGCTCGCTGTCACACTATGGCCACATCATGCACAGTTCTCTGTCTTCATGCATAACTTCTACCAAGTTCATGTACAGTTTGTGAAGGAAACCTAAGTTTCAGTCTGCAAGTGCCTGGCCATCTCGTTCATACAATTAATCTGCAATTGGTTTTTATTACATGAGAACGGTGTACACTTCTGTATTGACGGTGCGAGCAACTGAGGTTACTATTACACTCCTGGTTTTATATAAAATGCTGTAGTAAAAATGAGATTGCCTACAAACTGATAGTTGAGGAATAATGCTGGAAGCTTCCCTTCTGCTCAGTCATCTTCCTTCCAGTGTGTGTTATTGATTCAGTTCCTTCCACCAACCTTTCAATTCTTGTACTAGTCCTCAGCAGCACAGCATCCTTCACTAAAGTCAGATAAATTAGGCCTACTGTACTTCCTTCATCTGAAAATTCAGTTGTTTTATTAGCAGAAGACTATCGAGACACTTTGTCATCATTATCTAAATCTACATTTCATTTTTACTTCACTACACAACTAACTTTGGCCATTAATTGCACTTGCCTCTAGAATTTGCTCTAAAATACTGCCAAGTAGAGATAGCAAACAAATGGGTCAGTAGCTGCCCTCTCCTAATTACAGCTGACACTGGTAACACCAGTCATTCTCCACTTGGTGCAGTAACAAGTATAGAATTCTTCTAAAACACAGAAAACTGCTACAATAAGTTCATCTAAAATCAGATATGTCAACTGTCTCACCAGATCTATTAAGGACTGGATGAAGTGCAATAAGTACTGCTGCAAGTTAGGAAGGTAAGTATATTCAGCAGGTTTTGCTTACATAAAATATTCTAATCACCTCCAAAGATGTAGTTAGGTTAAGCTTTTTCAAACTCCTATCTTCTGCAACAATCTGCCAATTGTAATAAGCTTGTCTACACTGGTGGGTTTTCTGCTCCAGTGGGAAGCTGAAATGGTGCAAAGATGCTGAGAGAATTGCTGTAGTTTCTTGTGAGACCTTACATTAAAAGATATTTTCTTTATATTGTGATATTACTGTGTTTTGAGTCCTTCCCGTTCGTAACATGAATCTATGAGTCATAGTCCATGTTTCAAAACAGTGTCACATGCTAGACTTCCCTTCCCTTGCCTTTATGAGTAAAATTAAAAGGAGGAGGAAGACTTGGACACCATAATTCAACTGAAAACTGAAAGTTAATACTTTATTCAATTTTCCCAAAGGACAATTTTGTTTTAAAACCCACTCTGGTCAGTTGGTAATATCTGACAGCAACTAGAAATAAATTAAAATGACCTCAAGTATGTAAACAACTGAAAAACAGGAAATAAATAACAAGCAATGTAAACTAGAATTCATGAAGTGTAAAGCAGTGGTTGAGAAGGATAAAAGTCCAAAGGAAAATTCATGTGTTGCAAGACTAAAGAGAAAAGATAACACAAGTTTTTTGATGAATGTTATGAACAGAACTTACTAGATGGAGCGAAGTTAAATATATTTGACAGATATAACTCTAGTCTCTACTTTCTGAAAACATGGAGAATCAAATAAGAACAAACTATGCGTTCTTCAGGCTTTCTATAGGATCTTTCCCCAGAATTAGGACAAGGGGTTACCACAGCAACATGGCACGAAGCACTGCCTCAGCACCTGAGCACTTTCGTCCCAGATATGTACATACCAGTAATGACAATAGTGGTATGCAGATGAATTTGAGAATGAATGCACTGGAATAAAGACCAGCTCAGAAGGTTCGTGGCTAAGAGTCCTAAAAATCCTAGGATCATATGATTGTATGGCTGAATATGGCTGAAAACAGCACCTGGAAGTTGAGCTGCAGAGTGATAGACTAGTTGCTTCCAAAAGCAGAGGAAGAACATGTATTCATAGTCCTGCCTAGACTGTGTCCTCCTCTGATGGCTTGGGAGCTCTTCACCACTGGAGCAGCACAGCGCATCTCCACCAGAGCACAGTAGCCTGATAGTGAGAAACAGGAGAAGTCTGGAAGGGGGCAACACTCAGCTGCTCAGTGCAGTCATGCGCTTTCCTTTCTCTTCCTTTTCTCTTTCTGTCTTTACAATACTTAAGAGCCCTCACGTGCTCCACCCATGTCTGAGAGAGGAAGAAGGAGAAGCCACAGCCCCAACCTTCTGCTCCGCAGCAACAGGAGAGGAACTTGCACAACTGAGGAGCTCCAGGAGCAGGAGAGCTAGGAGTGAAAGGAACCAAATAGCTAGGCTGGAGAAGAGTACATATGGGCCATGATCAGTCATTGCTTTCATCCGATGCTTTTAATTGGTGATGGCATTAAGTTGTAATCAATCTCTGAACACTGAGGAATCCAGAGGACTGAAAGATGGCTGCATATAGCAATATTAGAGAAGTGAAACATCCAGCTTACCAACAGGTGATGAGACTGACATCTATCCCAAGAAAAAAAATATCTGAAAAGTTGATAAGAAAGCCAAATAACATCACTTAGTTGAGTTCTATAGAATATCAGGCTCTTCGGAGGGAAACTTACTGAGAAGTAACCGAATCTGTCTGATGCAGGAATTTACAATTTAGTTGTGGAGCACAATATAAGTAGATAAAGAATACACTGAATGATAGATACAGAAAAGAGTAATCACTGACAAACCACTGATAAACAAAAAGGTTTTTATAAAGACCTTACAGGCACAAAGGTTCAATGAAAAGCCATCACTGCTAAAATCTGCAGTTATAAAAATTCAGAAGAGTGGACTTAAGCATTAAAAAACACTTAAGACAGCACTTAAGTAGTCTGTTTCTGTGTATCTCCATTGTTTTTTAATACAGCCAAACACATCTCAGAACTGGGAATGCAAGTCATTGCTGCTGACTGGGGACTGCATCCTGAAATGGCAGTGACTTGTGAAAGGAATTACAGATCAAGGTACAAAAAACATGATTACAGTCTATATATCCTGAACTCTCAGGAAAAAGCTGCTGCAAGGGCAGCTAGCGCAGTGGCTGATCCAAGTGAAGTGATTTTACCTCTGCTTACAGATATGATGAGACTGCTGCTGGAACAGTGCATACAGTTCCCATGGAAGTGTTTTTCAAATATTGTCAAAAATGGGAAAGTGCAAGGAAAGAAGCTACAAAATATACTTGCAGGCTGAAAAAACTGCCTTGCATAGAACAAATTCAGCCTGCTTACATACCAAAAAGAATTTGGTGATTAGAATAAGAAGTGAAGTATTTTCTTTCCTGGGGAAGACATCAGTGCTGAATTGTTTTAGTTTAGAATATAGCAAGCACTTATAAATAGAAGCTGAAGCCGGATATATCCAAATAAGAAATAAGGCAATAGTCTGTAACCTCATATTTAAATACAGGAGCAAGGTACAAATCATTTAATGGATTCTCCATCCCCTGCTGCCTTGAAATCACCACTAGATGCCTTCCTACAACAAACAGTTCACCCAAATAGAGGTTATCTTCTTAAGTGAAATACAAGTATGTGGGCTGTATGCAAGCATACTCAGGAAAAAAAAAAAAAAAAAAAAAGGTAGCTGTAAAAGGTTACATTATCTAATGGCCTCTCCTTTCATTA